CCGGGGGCCGCCATCACGTGACCAGCCGGTGGGGGCGCTGTGAGCCACGTGACCTAGCGGGCGGGGCCTGGGAACGTGGGGGTTCCTAGGGTGAGCCCCGGAGGTGCCGGCGCCCGGCCATTGGCCACGTGGAGCGGTGGCGGGGGGGAGGAGGAAGCAGGTATCTCGTTATCAGACTGCGGGCGGGGCGGGGCGAGGCAGGTACAGGGCGGGAGAAGGGTGGAAGGGCAGCTCTGCTTGCAAATGGTGCAGGGACGGGTGCGGGCGGCCACGCCCGAGCTGCCCGGTGGATCAGCGCCCGCCCAGAACGCACCCCCCTCGGAGACCCTCCCTCCCCCAGACGCCGAGCCCCACGGGATCCTAACCTGACTGCAGCTCGCAGCTCTCGGGCGCAGCACCTGGGGATGAAAGTGCTTCCGTGGTGCGCTCTGCCCGCTCCACTCACTGCTGCGGGGAGCCTCTCACCGATCATGGTGAACTCCGGTTTTACAACCGAGATACCCAAACAGGAACGTTCTTTTCAGGAAGTGCCCATGAATAATGTACTAAGCGGCGAGATGGGTTCATACCAACCCGCGGTGCCAGACGGCCCTGAGTCTTTCCTGCGTGCCCTACATAGGATTTTTCCATCTGTCGCAACAGCATTGGACCGTGACACATTTATCCAAACCAAAGAAAAATTCCACCGTGCTAACCAGTCCAAGTTTTCTGATAGCTGGAAGAGATGTCACAGATACCAGGTCAAATCCGTTTGTATTTGCAAATTTTTAGAGGCCAGAGTCATAACACCTTAGAATTTCGGGGGACAGCTAAGAGCAGACGGCTAAGTCATTTTGCTCTAAAAAAAGAGCGCAGGAAAGCTCTGGGGTTTGGCTACCCCTCCTCCCTTCTTGTCCCTATTTTGCTCAACTATCGAGTCTACGAGAAAGGGATCATTTGAATTTCAGGGGGCAAGTTTCGCAAAAAAGCCATCATATGTGGTGTGCAAACCTCAAGACCCAAATGAACTAGAAAACAGGAAGAAAACACTATAAACTACAGCAGTTGCATCACAGCTGAAAATTCTTTCAGCAAGGGAGTCATTAGCTTGCTGCTGCCTGCATGTCCCAGTTAACCATGCCTCCACCCCCAGGCACATTTATTCAGCATGCCTAGACAGAGGCAAGAGGTAAGTCACAGTGACCAACGCTTTTCAGAGCCAGCTCCTTTAACCCAGCACAGAAAAAAGACGTCCCCTAGCAGTCTGAGGCAGGTGAGGGCACCGCGTCAGGAGCCTTGGCCCCCACAATGCCAACAGTCGGTGCCCGTCAGGTGCTCAGGTGGCTGAGTGGGAGTCACACAGTGGGTAAGGTTCATGTGCGCAGGTGCCGCCACCTGCCAGGTGTGCAGCCTACCTTTGGGGCTGTCTCCTGGTTGACTGACCATGCCAAGTGGCTTCCTCTCCCATGTCTGACAAAGACCAACTGAGCTGACCCCAGCAGCAGCCAGCCTCTTCCTCATCAACACCTGCCCCTCATTGAAGGGATACTTGAGTCCTGCCCCTCTCTCTGGCCAGGCCTACAACCAGGTGTGGGCAATGTAAGCAGGCCCCTTACCTGTTGGCTCTGCCCCTTGGCTATTCACGCACAGGGCCAAGCCCTCCAGCACCCCCAACAGCTCCTCTGTGAGATCTTAATTTTGAGTATCCCACTTTTTGAGCCTTCTCTTATTCAGTTCAGCCCACCCCCTCTCTTCCAGCCTGCTCGCCTTTCAAGCCCCACCCAATCGAACCTCTCCTGCACTTCCTGCCACCACCCTTCACAGCACACTTGAGAGCTGTCATCACTTATGCCATTTCCTCATCAGCCCTGAGTCTAGTGCTACTGCGTGGCTAAATCCAGGCGCTAGCTCTCCCAGCCACTGGCCGTCGCCGGGTACCCCGCCCTCCTCCTGCCACCTGGAAACGCTCCCTCCATGCTGACTTTTCCTGTGTGAACTTTCTCTGCAGTCTGTCCCTGGGTGTGGATGTCTCAGGATGCTTTCTGGGCCCCCACTCTACACTTCTTGTCTGGTCTTGCCCACACAGTGTTTCAAGGTGCCTGCCAGCTGCCCTGTCATCAGCTCCAGCCCTCTCTCCCTAGCCTTGCAGGCTGGGCCCCCACAGGCCTAACTTCATCACGTCCCCGGTGGAACTCGTCACCTCTCATACGCGCTCTACCTCGGCTTCAGTGTCCCACCACACACGAGCTAAGGGTACAGATCTGGTATCATTTCTGACTCCTCCCGTTTCTATGAAGTCTTGTGGATTCTCAGGCCCCACTGGTGGTGACTCTCCTCGGTCTCCAGGGCCCCACGGTCTCCGGGGTCTCTACACTACTACCGGTCATCTGCTACCACTGCTCAGGTGAGCATTACAAGAGCCTTCCACCTGTGCTCTCCAGACCTCAATGAAAACTCCGTTTCCCCATTGCACCCCAACTCCTCCAGGTTGCCTGTGGTGCAGGATCAACTCCAGTTCCCTTAATGTGATTCAGAGGCTGAGCCGGTCAAAGGCTCCTCCTCAGCTTGCTTCATGGCCCTCCCACCTCACCAAGCTACCTATGAGCTCTCCTCAGTCCTCCCCTTGGCCCAGGGCTGCTCCCAACGCGCAGGGACCCTGGGCTGCTCGAGTTGGGCCAGCCGACAGTGACCTTCTTGCTGAAGCCCCTTGAAGGCCGGGACTGACTTGTCTTCATTCTCTTTGTTAGCAAGATTGCACTGAGGAATCCTTTCAATTCAGTGCTTGGTTCCACTCTATAAACACTTGATACAGTCTGTGGAATAAGGAAATGAAAAATTGCCTTCCTGCAGGCTAAATTCTAAGGGTGTTCTTATTTAAAATATGTTAATATATGGAAATTGTAGCTCACTTTAGTCAAGTATGGCACAGGGTCGACGTAAATTAATGTCTGAAAGAGAACACGCCTGTTTCTAATGATGATGATGGCGTCTGTGCACAGCTCTCCTTTCACGCAGCCTAGAAGTCGGATTTAGGCACTTTCCTATTTCCCAAAGTCAAATGTCACGCTCCTAACCCCATTCCCCCTGCAAGAGATGAAATGGTGGAAACAAATTTAAAGGACTACTTAATAGGCTCCGTCACTGCGGTGGGAGTGTGGGCAGAATTTCCTGTGGTGACTGAAGAGCCTATTTGGGGCCTGAACCCAATGGAGCCCATGCCCTGGGGTGTGGCCAGGAGAGTGGAGGCAGGAGGGGGGCAGAGGTGGGTTTGCGCAGGCTTTCCTGGCCTCTGGCTCTCTGCACACTGCAGGCGGCTCATCCGGCCTCCAGCAAACCTGTCTACGATTAGCTTGCTGCTGCACTAGTTTGCAGGCGTGAGTAGCTTGCCTGCTATGTCGCCAGTATACTTATTGAGCACCTACTGTATTCCAAGCACTCTGCTGGCGCTGGGGGTACAGCAGAGAGCAGGACAAGCAGGTCTTTGTAGTCAGAGCTCACAGTTGAGTCTGGGGGTGTAGGAAAGGTACAAAACATGAACATATAGTAGGTGCTATGGAAGAAAATGAGAGAGCAGAGGTGGTGTGTAGAAAGCTGAGACCCAACGGAAGAGGCAGAGGAAGTGCAGAGTTCCTGAGGCAGGAAGAGTTTCCAGAGAAGCAGCGGGGGGCCATTAGAGGACTTCAAACAATATGTCCAGGTCTGACTTCTGCTTTTAAAAGATCATTCAGTGTTGTGGGGAAACAGCTGGAACAGGATGGACATGAGTAGTGGAGGCACCCCGAGATCCACCCAACTAGGTGTGGGTGGGGATCCGTGGGGCAGAGACGGTGCTAAGTGCAGGACCGCCTCATGGCTGGATGTAGAAAGGGGTGAGAAAGAACCCAGGACTGATGGAACCTGACTCCTAGGTTGGGGCAAGGCTGTGTGGGTCCTGGTGAAATAAATGAAGTGGGATGGTACAGGACATAAAAAGGCTTAGGTGCTAAAAATCAAGGTTTTCATAAGCTCAGGGGAAAAGTCAAAGTGGGGAGGTGGACAGCAGTTTGAAGCTCCACAGGGACGCTGAAGTCACAGTCAGCAGAGGATGGCACTGACAGGCAGCGCCAGGTGACATCCTTAGGACCTGAGTGTTGACAGTGGACACAGAGCTCTGGGCCACCCTGCCTAGACTCTGAGCAGTGAGGCGAGGCCACGGTGGAGGTGAAAACTTGGAGAGGGCTGAGAGGTGAAGAGGTGGCAGCAGACAGGGCTCTTGGGGGCGTGTGGCTGAGGAGGTGAACGCTGGGGTTGCAGAACATGGGCACAAGGACTTCTGTTTTGTTGGTGCGCAGTGAGGCCTGCGCATGCGGAGGGGCATTCCACACTGGCCGGGAGGGGGCGGCTGCAGGTGCCGGGCGCAAGGGGCCGCGGCTCTGCAGTCTCCACACTCTGCGGCAGTCCCAAGTGGGGTGGGGCTGCAGTGAATTTTCGGAAGTGGGGGTGTGCTCCTATGTGACACCCGTGGTCCTACCTCCGACAAAGCAGGGCCATCAGTGCAGCCACTGGATCCTGCAGTGAGAGAAGTACCGCCCGCACCAGGGCGCAGGCAGAAAAGGACAGCGCCTGGCTGTGGCACTTTCCTCTGCGTCCCCGGCTGCCTAGGCAGGTCCACGCGCTCTGACAGAGCCCACTCTCGCTGCTCACATGTGAGGGTCTCTAAGGTCACTGCGAACACCGGAATTAGTAAATGTGGAACTGTTGCCGCTGGGGGAAATACAGGGTTAGGCTTCTGTGAGTCTTCGGCTACAACATCAACCAATCAAATTATAACCTTGTTTTCTGAGTTTTTGTTTAAAGACACTTTTGTTAAAAACACACACACACACACACACACACACACACACACTCACTAATATTAAACTAAACAGTCAACAGCACTGTAACTCATGCCTGAAAGAAGCTTGTCTAGGGCACACCCCTGCCTTCTTGTGGTTCAGAACACATTACACTTCAGCACTGCATTTGAAGGCCATTTTAAACAGCAAGATCACCCCAATAAAAAGTACACAAATGCAAAAAACCTGCCCTTAAACAGACACGTTTGATCTGAAAGGAGGCCTCTTTTGACCTTGGCTGGGAGAGTTCATCAGATAACCCACATTTTCACCACTTTGCACATCTGCCAGTGACCGTGAATGCGTCATAAGTATGGACAAAATACATTTGTGACTAGCTGAAATCACAAACGTAGAAGGTGCAAATAGTGAGTCTCAGTATATCGCAAGTGATCATATACGGTGGCGTGTTATTATGTTAAGGGCACTCACTTGGCGCACAAGGAGCGTGGAGGGCCTCAGCCAGCACCAGCAGCAAAACAGCAGCACCTGGGCTCCCCTCTGTAGTGTGGGGCTGCGCACAGATTCTTCCCGGGCTGCAAGCCCGGGGTGCTGGAGCTGGGGCTGGGTTCGGGGGTCCCAGAGTTCAAGTGCCAGCTCTGTCACTTTTGCAGTGACTTGACAAGTTCTCAGACTTTTCAGTTTCTAATCTCGTTTCTTAAATTCATATGGGTAATTTAATTGGAGGGCAAAATGTATTCTCGTACAGATGACTAGGCCTGGCACAGGGCTGTCACATGAAGTGCGCTAGAATCATTCAGTATGTGAGCAAGTGAATGAAGGCCTAATTATCTGTAAATCAGAATTCTTACCCTGAGTTTTCCTGAGACAACTGAGTTATGTATATGTCTTGTTTAACTCCAGATTCCACCCCACCCATGAGCCAGTCAACAAAGGCATTATTTACTGATGTTCCTTAATCATGAATTTTTCCCACTGATGGCATCTAGTCTGTCCCCTATCCCCAAACAAAACCCTAAAGACAAACTGAGTCACACTAAGATACTGACAAGGTCTTAAAAATTGCCAGGAACTGCCTAAACACCATCTCCTGGAGCCCAGTGAAGGTATAAACTAGACGTCTGGCCTGGCATCCCGCTCTCTGTGCTTAGTCTCCTGCCAGCCGTGCAAGGCATCTACCCCACCGTCTCAATCAGCTCCTGGCAGGTACATGGAGCAGAACAGGAAATGACTCGCCGAGAGCTCCTTGGCTTATCAGGTCCTTGGGCACCCTCAACAGCCTCCAATGCGAAAGAACATCCATGAGATCAAGGCTGGCAGGTTCAGAGAGTTAAGAAAACTCACAGTTAAAAACAGAACAGAACAAAACACAATATTAACCAGCAGTCTCCGACAAAAGGAAACATGGGTTTCAAATTGTCCAGCCAGGGTGTGTGCTAATTTATTGGGGGTGACTTTCCATTTCAGTTTCCTGGGAAAGAAAATAATCCCATGATTTGAGCTGCTGAAAGCACAGAAGTATCACAGATGTCGCGAGAGCTCAGCACTATGAATGTGAAAGAAGGGCCTAATATCTCCTGGTTACCCTTCACTCTAAGTCACCATTTCCTGAATCCTATCAAATTCCATTAAAGGCACACGACATACTCAGACACTTGGAGGAGCTGGAGATAAAAACCCAAAGTGGGCAATGGCTCTCACTGCCTGTCCCTCCTCTTGGCCCTAGAGGCTGCCTTCCCCACTCAGTTCAGCCCCCCGTGACCTCAGCAGGAAACACAGCCTTCCCTTCCAGTCTGCCCTGTCCTCTGCTGTGGCCTAGTCCTGCTCATCCTCAATCTCCAAATGTTTTCCCAGAAGCTCTTTCACCAGTTTCCTTCCCTGGCTCAGCACACCAGGTGAAACCACATCTCCCTCTGCGAGGCCCGGGCTTCCCAGTACACACGAGGGTACTGGAGCTGCTGGGCGAGAACGCATGTCCTGGGGTACAACCTGCACGCTCTGCTGCGGGAACAGAGACCAGGTGCCCGCAGGGCGAGGCATCCCAGACCTGGGTCGCTGCCTTCCCTGAGTCTGGGAAAAGGCCCACGTCCGCAGAAGCCCTGAGGCCCTGTCCCCATCCGTTCATCCCACAGCCTTCCCTGCAGCGTTTGGAGCCAGCGTTTCACAGGTCTAAACAAAACCTCATGTTTCTGCTCTTTACTAAACAATCCTTTTACAGAAACCAGCCCCAAACTCATCACTGTCCAAATCTAAGAGCAGGCACCAGTGGCAGGCAGTAGGTTCACACTCTCCCCTTTCAGCAGAAACAACAACAGCGGCTCGGCAGGCCGCAGCGTGTAGGAGCTGGTCCGTCGGTCCGTCGGGCACCCATCCTGAGGCAGGCGGGGCTGGCAGCCGGGTGGGCTCCCACTGCTCATGGTCCTGGAGGCCTTGGCAGGAGAAAGGTGCTGAAACCTTTGGGCCGCATGAAGGAATGGCTGAGGTCCCGGTCACAGCCTGGGCCTGGTTCCAGACGGCGCCCGTGGCAAACATCATCATCGCCCCATGATGAAGCTGGGTGCCGCCTCCTCTTCCTCCTCCGATCCAGATGCCCCCTCAGAGCTGCTGGACGGCTGCTCCTGGGACTGACTGGATCCTGTAACCACAAAACGTCTGGATTAGAGACACACACATTCACGCAGAGAATCAAGGGAAGGAGAACTGAGGACAAATTAGGTACTAGTTGTTTCTGGACAAGAAGCAAGCGAGGGGCCAGAGGAGGGCCTCTGGCCATCAAGCATCATTTACAGAGCCGATCTACTACGGCTGGTGTGGGGATCTTGCCCTCATCAAAGAGTCCAGCAGCATACTTGAGAGTCCAATACCTTGCAAGTCAGGCCTCACTGCCTTTGAATTTGCCCCACTACCGTCAATGTCCATCATTTAAGGTTTGGCTGACAGCCCTCCTGCTGAATCTCTCAAAAGGATTTTCAAAACGATGTAGCAGAGGGCTCTGCCCACAACAAATATGCCAGCTTCCTGATTTTTCTAAACACAGACCCATAAACCCTGTCTCTTGACACTCCACATGCAGCTTTCAAACCCTGTGTTTTCCCTGGCATGACTGCCAGTACCCACACAGCAGCTGGGCTGGCCCAAAGCAGCCCACAAAGACAGCTTGTTCCCAACTCCTCCTCCGCCCCTCCATTTGGAGCAGGGGAGTGGGCGAGAGCTATGAAGAGGCCAAGCCAGAACTCACAGGGGCAGCACCAGCCCTCCAGCCCACTCTAGGTGGCCACGTGCAGGCACGCGGGGTCACACAGCCCACTGATGGGCCTCCTTCCTGGCACCCCCAGAGCCTAAGGCTCTGGGGAGCTTTGCTCCGACCATCATCACAGGGTCAGGCACAGCACCACATGGTCCAAAATTCACCTTCACATCTTAGGATATGACACTAGAAAGCACTATGATGGAGCAAAGTGACTAGACTTAATCTAATTAAAGATATCCCTCCTTCTCCTCAGCTCTCAGCCTCACACCAGAATAAGTGATCCCCCCCCTCCATATATGGGGTGCAGGGTAAAGGTGAGAGGTGTGTGTGTGTGAGAGTATGGTAAGAGGATTCACCAGAGACAGAGCAGGAGCAGAACAGGCAGATGCACTGAAATGCACTGCTGAGGGAGCAGCAGAGAGACAGGAGAGGTGTGCTGGGCCATGTGGCTCAGTTCCCTGGCCGGGGAACTGAGGCCCCAGTGGGTAGCACCAATAGTGCTGAGACTTCTAGGCTACCAGGACAGCCCCAGAATGAGGAGTTTTTGAAGTACAAAGGGTGTAAGTGAACATATTTAAATAGCTAAAATTTGAGCATCTACCATGTGCCAGGCTCAGTGCTAAGTCTTTATGTAAACCATCTTGTTTAATCCCACTAACAGTTTGAGTGAAGTATCACTCTATGTCCACACTAGTAAGAAATAAAGCTTAGAGAGGTTAATAAGTAACTTGCTGTTCAAGGGCTGATAATCAGTCAAACAAGAACCTAGCGAGTTCATGTGTTTGGCTTGCCTGCTGACCGTGCTGGAGAAATGTTTAAGAAAAGTGAGCCTAAAGAAAAACGAGCTGCAACAAGCATGACTGAGGGGGGCATACCGACTGGGTAAGCAAAGCGGTCTAGGCATACAATGGGTGTGACAGCCTTGCAAAGGACGTTGTGACACAGGCCTTACCATGGATGAACCTGGAGGACAGTATGTTGAGTGAAACGACTGGTCAGCTCGTGCAAAGGCAAACGCTGTATACTCCTTGTGCGTGAGCATGAGAATGGTCAAGGAGGATGGTGGTGGTCAGGGGCTGAGAGGATGGACCCTGTTGCTTAGTAGGTAAAGAATTTCAGGTTTACGAGATGAAGAGAATTCTGGGGTGGATGATGACGATGGCTCAGAACAGTGTGGATGTGTTCGGTATCACTAAACTGTCCACTTAAAAATGGCTAAGTTGGTAAATGTTATGTCTATTTTATCACACAAAAAAAAAGGATACAGGGCCCTCCCTGATGGCGTAGCAGGTTAAAGCACAGCATTAAGAAGCTAAAGCCACTTCCGCATGAGTTCGATTCCCGCCTGCCCCGGAGTTGACCACATGACGCGGCAGACCTCTCCTGACCCGCCCGCTGCTCCCCTCAGCAGTGTACTTAGTCGATCTGCCTGTTCTGCTCCCCACTCTGGTGAATCCTCTCACTGCCCCTGCACCTCTGGCCTGTACCCCAGTTCTGTATGCACAAATAAATGAATCTTTAAAAAAAAAATGGGGGGGATACACACATACTCCAGGGAGACTGAGTGGGAAACTAAAAATCACTAAGCCAACTTGCTTGGCACAACTGGATTCCTAGAGCACATGCTCACATCATGGCTCTCACAGAAAATGACGAGGTTTCCGTGGCCTATGTGGCCAGGGTGCAAGGCATGAACACTCAGCCGCCTCCCTGAAAGCCTGGGGTCAGGGTCTCTGCCATTTGTTCCCTCCCTACCTCTCAGCTGAGAACCTATGTGCCAGAGCTGGGGCTCCCAGGCTGACACGGCGAATATTTCTATTTTGTTCTATAACTTAGTCATAGTCTGGCTGCCTCAATCCCAAAATCCACCAACCACACCCACAGAAGTCTTAACACAGCAGGATGAGCACATAGGATCTGATCTTCAATTTCTGATCTTGCAGAAACAGTCAAACACTGACTAATCTGAGTATTTTTGGAATAGGGTGTTTTGGATACCTCAGATGCTAATTTAAAGAGGAGGGTGCTAAGCATTCCGCGTGGTTGAAAGGCCTCTGAAAATGTAGTGCTTCACTTAATAGCAAACACAATAGATTTCTGTGTGGGAGACGCGGCAGGGCCTAGATGTATCAAAGAAATCTGTGAATTGGGCGGGCATTCAAGTCATTTGGTATTTCGACAAAATTAAGTCACCCGTTCATTCATTCTCTCAACATAATAAAAAATAATGCAAGTGCTTCTTGCCAGCTACTGTTCATAATGCTGAGAAATAAAAAGACAATGTCACAAATTGAAACAACAATGAGATATCACAACACATGTAATTAGGGAGGCCAAAAAGAGCCCAAAGCTGACAATGTCAATTGCTGGTGAGGATGTGGAGTAACTGGAAAATGCAAAATGGAATCAGCACATTTGGAAGAGTGTGGCAGTTTTTTAGAAAGCTAAACATCGTCTTACATGATCCAGCAGTCACCATCCTTGGTATTTGCTCAACTAATTTGAAAACTTATGTCCATATAAAACCATTACACCATTGTGTATGGTAGCATTTTTGTGACTAAAAATCTGGGTCTAACCAATATATGTTTCATCAGGGAAATGGATAAACAAGCTAGTATGCCCACCAGATGGGATGTATTCAGCAATGAAAACAAGTGGGCAGGAAGGCCACGCAAAGGTAAGCAGCATCTTAAATATTAAGTGAAAGCAGCGAACCTGGAAAGCCTACACTGTGTCATCATCTCCACTGTGTGACACTGTGGCAAACGGACCAGCATACGCCAGGGAGTGGAGGCGGAGGGAGGCGAAATAGGTCAAGCACAAATGTTAAGGAGAAGGATGTCCTAAAGGAACTCTGCAGAGTCTTATGGACCCCACCCCCTACTCCAGCTTTCTGGACTCTACGCCCCTACTCCAGTGATTGGAAACTACAACTCCCAGCAGTACCAGGGAGAGAACTGTGAGGACCCAAGGGCGGAGCTAGCAGGAATTCTGGGACATTTGGGGGATAAATAGGACGCGATTGCATCTCTCACTCAGAAACGGCTCTCCTGACCTCCTGACTTGGTGTGTTCAGTCAGCCTAGCCTAAGGTATTCCAGTTACTTTGTATCCCACTCTCTTTCCCTGGGTTGTTTCCTATTCCTTTCCCCTCTTGTAAATAAACCCATTATTGACCCTTTTGTGTGTACCTGCAGTATAACTGAATTGTGAGCACATGGGTAAGGCCCCATAGACAGTCCACTCTGGGCTACCCTGTAACACAAAGAGTATTTTGGGGGACAGTGAAAGTACTCTGTATAATACTGTAACGGTGGATACATGAGACCATACATTTGTCAAAGTTCATTTAGGATGTCAAGGATGCCAGGATGGAAAGAAAAGGTGACACGAGTCCAATTCTATCACGCATGGAGGCAGCTGACTTTGGAGAGTGAAGGGGAAGGTGCTGACCTAAGACATTTTGCTCGAGATGATAAAGTCCCACAGGGAATAGGCTCACAGTTCTGGACTACTAATTATGAACACTGAAACAATCACAAAAATGGATGGAGGCCGACGGGAGCCAAGTCGCTGCTTTGGGAGTGGGAGCCACAGGCAACTGCTGAGAAGGCCGCAGCGACCCCGGTGGCGATGGCAGCGAGTGAAGACGCCGGAAAGAGCCAGAAGCAGGCAAGCTCGATGGCCACATACAGAAACATCTGCAGACTGTACACACACTGCCTAGTACACACGTACACTTCCTTGCTTTATCAGGTAAAAGGGCCTAGAAACACCACCATCCCAGTAGCAAGACACCAGATCTTGGATTCTCATTCCATTCTCCAAAATTAGGAAACAGCACTCTTCGGAGAGTTGCTGATTCTAGATCTTGGGCAGGAAAAACACTAGTTAAGCCTGGCATATCCTGTAGTGCCAGAAAGTAAGGAAATTCTTAAAACAAAAAACATTTAAAAAAAAAAATTGAGCAACAAAAGTGCTGGTCTGTAACTATTACAACTTGAAAATACATTTTAAAAAATCCATTTATTTTATCTTTTAGGGCAAAAATATCCCAAAGGATATTTTAGGACTGATTAAATGTCAGTCCAAACTGATATGAATAAAGGGGAAGAAGAAACTAATCTCTTAAGCAAAAGAATTTCAAGTAACTTATGAAGGATGGGTAGGGAACTCCCTATTCCTTAAGTGGAGGCTAAGCATTGTTACTTCTTTTCAAAGAGGATAGCTGGGAGAAGAAAAAGAACTTCATTGTGGTAAAACCCAAGCACCACCTCAGCCAGGTGGTCAAGGCCAACTGTAATAGTGACTTAGCCTTATCCCGACAGCAGCTGGCCTGACATGATGTGATGAGAATGGCACTTTATCTCTGTGGTCTTGCTC